GGAGGCGGGTTGCGGTGATTAGTGTGGTGTTGGTCTTGACACATCATTTTTGTCATACTAGGCATTCAGTTTCTTAGGATAGAAGGAGTATTTATCTTAACTATGTTTACAGAACAACTCACAAACATTTTGGAATTAACCTGTGTATATAGGTGCAGACAACACCCTGTTTATTAAATTCTTGCCTTGTGTGTGTGTGTGTGTGTGTGTGTGTGTGTGTCTTACTGTTGTTTTGTTTTAGAATCTTGGGTTGTTCAATAACAGTAAATAAGAAGACAAAAACGTCTGTTTCTATCATGGGCAGGGTCAACAGTTTACCATCCAATGAAAGCACCCTCCTCTGCTTTTCTTTTTCTGTCCCTTTTAAATTCTATTATGTTTGTTTCTGAGGAGCTACACAGATGGCAATTAGCATGAGAGTCAGTTGAATGTCAGGGATACTTTCTCCATTTTACTTCACATTTTTTTGCTGTGGCCTTGCCTATACTTTGATTATTTTTCGTAGCTGCTACTTCTTACACGGCTATACACACACACGCACACACACACACACAGACACACATAATATGTATACATATATATATATATATTCTTTTTATTTCCTTCTCATCTCAATAGTGAAATGACTACTTTAAAAGATTGCTTTCGTTCAGTTGATCCAGATTGAGACTAGAAGGAAAAATCTTGACTTCTCTTTTTTTTCCTGAGAAAAGGAAAATAGTTCAGAGTAGTCTGAGGAATGTGAGTTGTGCAAAATTTATCAGACCCAGAGAGACATGAGTATAGGACTTGCCCATAGTGGTGGTAGTGGAGGAGGACAATTATTTAAAGCAATTTTGTTCCTAACTAGCTGCCTTATCCATTATCTCCATGTTCCTGGGATTTGTGATACAAAGAACAATGTATGGCCAGTCGATAGCAATAATGTAAATTATTGGCAAATAATTTAGGAACTGCCTTTTCCTTTCCTTTAAAAATTTACTTGTACCCGCTGATAATGGGAGTGTATATTCAGGGCAAGTTGAATATATCCTCTCTAGTTCTGGTCCTCAAACTTCAACCAAATAGACTCTTCACTTATATTAAGTTTGCCTCAGTTTTTTCCTTTAGGTCGACACTCCTAAACCTGGTCTGTTAGCTGGCTCTAGCTCAACCCCCAGAAAGATTACCTGTGTGTTTTATTTGTGCTTTAACTTTTTCCCGTCTTCTTCCTCAATCTTTTCTTAGTTCTTTAAAACATCTTTTCTTTTGAGACTTTTGCTCAAAAGAGGATGGGGAAGGGAACACTGAATTTTCTTCCTTGCGTTGAATACATTAGATCCATTATGTCAGCGAAATGCATCCTGAAATTTGCATTCCCCAAATTTGCTTACATTATTACAAAATATAACTTTCATGCATTCATTACAGTGATGTGTAACTGAAAATTCAAAAGTCCTGATAGACTTGTGGTAACAGTTACTAAGCGGGCAGCAATGAGCAGCAAATCTGCCCAGTGAGGTGTACCACACGTGTAACTCTCAAAAGAAGCCACAGACCATTGGGAAGTTTTTTTTTTTTTTTTAGAAACCAATACAAGTTGACCCTAAAAATGCCAAGAGGCTTGGAATTTTCTTGAATTTTTTTTCAAGAAGGATTCCCTAAATATGACTAATGGCAGAGGAGGTAAACTAGGAATTAGCTTTCTTTCCTTCTTTCATCTAAGGGTGGTGGTTGTAGGGGAGAACAGTCTTGGTTGCACGAAGTGAGATTTAGATTTACCTGTGGGTGGTTCCTGCTCTTGTTTTACTTGAATTGATTTTTAAATTCTTTGCAGGTAAAAAAGGTGTCTGTTATTTCCAAGATAATATGGGAGTTAGGCAACAATAGTAATTTTCATTTAAAAGCTTTTCTTTTCGAAATTACTTCTTATTTTGAATTTGCAATTTCTGCCTATAAGAACGTTCTGTTTACAATAAGTAGAATATTTTATTAGGGTGAGTGTATCATAGATGATATTGTAAAAATTGCTGTTCATTTAGGAAATACAATTAGTCTTGACTATGTCATCCATAGGTTCTTGGAAACTATTACTTTAAGCAAAATGGCATACATATGCTTGTAACAAAGCCATTTTTTCTTATCAATGTTATAACAAAACTATGTTGAATAAAATTATGTTATTCAAAGAACTGCTGCATGTTGTTTTGCTTAAAGTCACTGTTTCCAAGAACCTGTTGATGATGTTAAGTGAGGACTTACTGTATAAAATATTGAGAAATAAATGGAACACATTTAGGAGCTTGCTGGATTTCTTCCTCCTTCTCCTCTCAAATACCTACTTGTTTTCTCTTTATAGAAAAACTTATTTAAAAGTGAGACTGGGTTCCAAATGCGATGAAAGGTGAGGGGGTGATAAAACAGGGCAAACTAGTAAGCTTTAACATTAGCTCACATATATTAAGAACATGGCTCATTTAATCTTGACAACCCTATGATGTTCTCCACTGTCCTGATGGGAGAAAGCGAGATTTAAAGAGACAAAGTGACTTGCTAGTGAGTGGCAAAGAAGGGATTAAATCTAGGTCCCATTCACTCCAGTTCTCAGTGCCAAACCACTACCTTTCAGGACCTCACAGGAAGAACCAGACTAAAGTAGAGAATGACCATGGAAGAGAGAAAGCCAACGTAGGTGAGAGAAAGAGGCAGCCTGAGTGGCCTAGACTCAACTTTCCAATTTCAGGAGCATGGACTCGGCACCCAATGTGGATGGAAGGGGTCTCCCTTATTAAAAATGTTTGAGGGGTTGATTGCAGGAGCTGACTTGAGGGGTATCCAAGGTTTGTTTTTGTCTCTCATCTGTTATCCCTTTCATTATAAAGAAATTTCTGAGATCTGTCGCACTCATTACAACAAATGTCACCACACCAAAAAACATTCAAAATTCCTCATTTCAAGAACCAGTATTTCTCATGTGTATATTTTGCAAAATTTCTAAAGTAAAGCAAGAGAGAAGCACACTGAGCCTCAGGTCCTCATTGGATTCATGATGGTCCAGGGCCCTCTCCCAGCTTTTCCTATTTAAGAATTAAATTTCAGCAGTTTTTCCATGAGTGTTCAACCATTTGCAGTGGGACTCACAGTGACCAGTCATACAATTCATTCATTTCAACAAGCAGCTGCTGAAAACATTTTGTGTTGAATATTCTCCTTTGAACCCTCTAGAATTTCTGTCCCTTTCTGCACCTGCTCTGCCCCCACAATGGGAGGGGACCTTTTTGGACTACACTAACAATCTGGCTCTATTTATGTTCAATTAGTAGAAGCCACCAGCAGGAGATAAAGGGGCAGGAGCAGAGTGAAGTAAGATTATTCCTTCCCTATGGAAGAACAGGGGTCTGCAAACTATAGCCCAGATGCCCTATCTGACCTGCAGCCTACTTTTGTAAATTAAGTTTCATCGAAACACAGCCACACATATCCATTTAAATATGGCCTATAGCTGCCTTTTACACTCCAGCCAGCAGAGTTGAGTAGTCATGACATGACAGAGATGGTATGATCTGTGAAGCCTAAAATATTTATTTCCTGGCCCTTTACAGAAAAAAAAGTTTGTTGACCCCTGCCTTAGTAGGTTCCTCTTCAGGTAGGATAAATCTTTTTTTGTTTGTTTTTGAGATGGAGTCTCACTCTTGTCACCCAGGCTGGAGTGCAGTGGTGCAGTCTCGGCTCACTGCAACCTCCGCCTCCCAGGTTCAAGCGATTCTCCTGCCTCAGCCTCCCAGGTAGCTGGGATTACAGGCGCATGCCAATGCGCCTGGCTAATTGTTGTAATTTTAGTAGAGACAGGGTTTTAGCATGTTGGCCAGGCTGGTCTCGAACTGATGAACTCAGGTAATCTGCCCACTTTGGCCTCCCAAAGTGCTGGGATTACAGGCATGAGCCACTGTGCCCAGCAGGCAGGATTAATCTTTAGGCAGCTTTTTTCCCGCCAGAAACACTACTGTTGGTTGAATGACACTCCCTAAAGTTACAGCTACAGCTACCGTTACACTACAGATAGAACTATTCCTGAGTTCTGGTAACTATTTCTTTCCCTGGCCCTGTTTAGGCCTACGAGTGATTGTCAATGTTGCTAGCCCCAGGAACTACATGACACATATACTGCCACTTTCCTTTATCCCTGCACACACTCAGTCCTTTTGTGTCTCCTAATTTACCCAGTTGGATTGTGCCACCTATTTCCTGCTGAGACCCCGACTGACTTATTATATGCATAGCATCGTACTAGAAGCAATGAAAAAAAAAAAAAGAAAGAAAGAAAATAAAAGAAAAGAGGAAGTGCAGCACTTTGGGAGGCCGAGACAGGCGGATCACAAGGTTGAGATCGAGACCATCCTGGCCAGCATGGGGAAACCCCGTCTCTACAAAAATACAGCCTGTAGTCCCAGCTACTTGGGAGGCTGAGGCAGGAGAATGGCGTAAACCTGGGAGGCGGAGCTTGCAGTGAGCCGAGATCCGGCCACTGCACTCCAGTCTGGGCGACAGAGCGAGACTTCGTCTCAAAAAAAAAAAAAAAAAAAAAAGAGGAAGTCCATGTACATAACCTTATTTTATGGTGGTAATGACAGGTGAGCTGAGCAATGTGGATAAGATAAGTATGAATAACTATGATAAAAGGAAGACTGTGATAAGTACAATAAGAGAGGCCAATACACAAGGGAGAAGGCGAACAATCACATCTGGCTGAAATATTCAGGAAAGTTTTCATTATTTAAGTGGCATTGAGCTGAACCTCAAAGGGCTGGTTAGTTTTAGAAAGGTGCATATTTTTGTAAATTAGAATTACAGATAAAGGTATAACATGAGGTATTTGGAGGAAAATAAATAATGATTTCCAGTTTCTTTAGCAAGACACTTGACAGAGCACTTTGGCCATTATCTCATTTTGTTCTCATGACTCCAGGAAGTAGTTGCTATTATTAACCCATTAACAGATAGTGGAGCACAGGTCTTTTTAAAAAATTGAGTAACTTGCCCATGATTTACAACTCGAAGGAGAAAAGTAACGATTCTTACATTCTTACCCACATGCTTAATCCTTAGGAAGATAGCAAGGCATATGTTGTGCTTCAGTGGTGGTTTCAGGCTGATTCTGCTGCAGAAATAAAGCTAAGGTCATTGATTTTGGCCACATCTGAAGCAACTAACATTATGCAAAGAACTCTGGGCTAATGTTCCACAAGTACTGGGTAGTCTCTGAGACTTTTTGCTTAGGCCAATGAGACAATTAGAGTTGTATGCTTAAAAAAATATGGTCTATGTTGTATATAAAAAGGGGTTTGAAGTAGGGTGATAGTAGTGGGGTTTTTAAAGGACAGTGTCAACACCACGGGTAAGCCCGAGAGACCAGAGGAAGAACTGAAGTGACCGTGTCTTTTTAAGTCTGGACAGGTGGTGAGTAGCAATGCAGTGATATTAATAACAGAGCAGGTGAACACAAAAGGGAAGGCTTTATTTTATTTTATTTTATTTTATTTTATTTTTTTTTTTGAGACACGGTCTTACTCTATCACCCAGACTAGAGTGCAGTGGCATGATCGTGGCTCACTGCAGCCGCAACATCTCCGGGTTCAAATGATCTTTCCACCTCAGCCTCCTGAGTAGTTGGGACCACAGGTATGTGCCACTACACTTGGCTTTTTAAAATTTTATTTATTTTTTATTATTTTTATTTTTAGTCGACACAGGTCTTGCTATGTTGCCAAGGTTAGTCTTAAACTCCTGTGCTCACTTGAGCCCAGGTCTCCAGCCTCAGTCTCCCAAAGTGCTGAGATTACAGGTGTAAACCACTACACAGCCTTTGGAAGACTTTCCAAGAATGATAAGGGATCGGATTTTGTAAATGTGAAGCTAAAGATACGAAGAAAATTCTAACTCTACTTACAGATAGAATTCTAATTTGGGGCTGGGCACAGTGGCTAACACCTGTAATCCCAGTGCTTTGGGAGGACGACGTAGGAGGATAGCTTGAGGCTAGGAGTTCCATACCAGTGGCCTGGTCAACACAGCGATACCCCATCTCTACCATAAATAAATAAATACATAATTTTATCTGCAATTCGAGATATGAGTGGAGTCTCAAGAATGTTCTGGCTATTGTTGACATAAGAGTTCAGTAGCTAAATACATCTATGGCAGGTATAAGAAGAGTAAGTGGTGGAGAAAGTTGTAAAAACAGGAGGAAAGATTAACTTCTGACCATTGACTCCTTGGGGGAATCACAGCAGGGCTTCAGACGATTTTTCAGTTCCTAGTGCTGGGGATAGTGTCTATGAAATACGTTTTCCTCCTCCCTCCAGGCCTCCTACGTAGTTAGGACCTTTCAAGAACATTGGACATTGCCATATGCACATGAACACACTCAGATTTAATTTCTCAGATTCTCTGCTTGCTGGCTTCTAAAACTGTTGTAAGAACTGTTATCTGGCTTCATATGCTTGTGACAAGGCGGTGAAATGCTTTGAAAAGTGCCTATAGCTAAACAAACGTGAGGTACCGGCACTCGCAACTTTTCCCCAGGAGATGTGCACCTATATTTAGCGCGTAATGCCCCGACTATTTTCGTTGTTTTCTGTCCCCGCCGGCCTTCTGCCACGGACAGTTACAAACCTGGTCGATAATTATCCTGGGAGAACTCGAAGTCCCAGCTGAGAACGCAGGTCGGAGATCAGAGAGGCAGAAGGACCTTGGGGAGGAGCAGGGGCCGGGCATGACGTAGCACCTTCCAGGCCGCCGATTGGCGGAGGAGAAGGTTGTTCCCGCAGGACGGCTGCTGATTGGCTACTGGAGGCAGAGGCGTGACGTCCTTAGAAGTTGAGCAAACACCTCCTACTTCCCGGGCTTCCATCCCAGTTTCTGCTAGGAATTCGGAGCCTCCCCTGCAGCGACTCAGAAGATCCGAGGCGGCGGGGGACAAGTCGGCGCCCCAGAGCTGACGAGGTGAGGAGAAGTTCCGGAGGAGAGCTGAGCAGACGGGCGGGTGGGCTTAGCCTATGAGATGCGCTGGAGATCGCGGGCCAGACTCGGGCTGTCGCTGGGAGGGGCCCGGGAGCCTGGCCTTCGGGTCCCGGTGCGGCGAGGCGACCCGGGCCGGGCCGAGAGAAGGGAGAAGGCTGCGAGCATTCGGGCCTCCCTGCGAGGAATGGAGGCAGAGCGCAAACGCAGAGCGTTTCACTGCGAGGAAGGGAGGGAGAGCGGTCAGTGCAGCTCCAGCATTTCTAAGTAGAAAGGCGAGAGATTGCAATTCGGATTTCTTTTCTCTCTTTTTTGGCGGATAGTGGTGGTGCTGTGGCTGGGGAATAAAGAACTGCTTAAGCTGTGGAAACAACGCCTTGTTACTTTTTGGACTGCGTGCTTAGAGGGGACTTCTGGCTGAGGGGCGGTGGATGGAAATTTCGGGGAGGTTCCTTTCCCCTTCCCTCCCCACGCCCGGCGTAGCCAAACTCTGATCACAAACTTCTCTCCTTGTCCATCTCGGGCTGCCCACTCTCCGAGACAGAGACCCATTCTCCAGCAAGGATCGGAGACGGGTGGAAGTGGGCGCCTTGCAAGTCTGGGTTTCCTGAACTCCTAAGCGCCTGCGGGGCTGTGCGGACCGTTGTGAGCGCTCGCGCGGGAGGGGGCGCGGGGAGAAGCAGTTTACCCACCTTCCTCCGTTGAGTGGGACTGAATGTCTGTCTATCCTGACAGCTTCAGAAGAAGAAATGTGCTTTTCAGATACTGATTTCAGGGGAATGGGGGTGGGGGGAGCGGGAGAGAGAAAGAGCGCGCGCGCGAGAGGAAGAATGAGTTCAGTAACTTGAACAAGGATTAACATTTTTTGATGTTGTGGGTCATCAGTGGGGAAGGTGCAGCTGTGAGATGTAGTTATACACAGGACGAAAAGGTCCTTGACTGAAGGACTGCGGCTTTTCAATACTTTATTTTAAAAACCCCAAAACACTGATGGCACTTTGGTGTTTCTAGGTTTGTGTATTTTGTCCCTTGCACTCCCCTCTTCTTTTTTTCCCACGAAGGTGAGTGAATCTAAGGCTACATGACTTGGCTGTGTAACCTGGTGGCCATTCTGCAAAGTGAGTTAAGTGGACAAAAATTGAAGCCACTTTACCAGAATCATTTTCCTACTCTCCAGATAATCATATTTGTTATCAGTCTCACTTGTTAATGACGATGGCGTGATCAGAACTTTGGTTTATTTGTCACTGAATTTTTTTCTCACTAGTCCTTTAACAGACCTTGGTTCAGAATTTTGGAAATGATCTTTGGTGTGTAAGAAACCACCATTTAACAAAACATTTTCACTATTTTCATTTATACTTTTATTAATTTTCTCATAGAAATAACATTACAAACAGTGGTAAATTTTTTAGGTAAGGCCACAAAAGATTCTATGCAATTCATGAAATGATGGAAACAAACATTTGGAATGGGAAATAACCCCCAAACATTATTACCACATTCACTTGATCTAAGGTGCCATTAATTGTAAGATGCATCTCTATATCATAGATGCTAAAATGTATTAAAAAATTGTCTTAAATTTGATGAAATACAACATTAAAATAGTAATTTATTTATCTTGAACATCCATGCCTAAAGTTTGAAGTTGAAGAGAGGGCTTATTGGGCTCTAATTTTTTTTTTTCCAAAATAATATAAGGGTGGGGGATTAATATGGAGCCATCGTGAAGGCCTTACTATGGTGTAACAGAGGAAAGAAATGTTAGCGGCGGTTGTGCTTGCTTTTGAGGAGTAGGCAAGACTGGAGGCTTTTTCTTTTCTTAAAATTTATTGTTTATGACACACAGCAATGCTCAGCACTTTATGCATACTAGCTCAATTAAACGTCACAAGAGCCCTAAGAGGTAGAGGTTCAGATGACTCTCATTTTGCACTTGATGCACAGACAGGTTAAGTTGCCAGTCAAGGTCACAGAGTAAGTTTGGCCGCCAAAGAACCCAGGAGAGAAACCAGTATTCCTTTGAGGTATCCATCTTCTGTTGCAGGCTCTTGGCTCCTGTTCCATGCTATTAATGCAGGTAGCGCAAGTGAATGTCCACTCTTTCTTGATTGTGTTTTTGGTATTTTGTTTCCCTGTTTGGTGTACTTTAGCTGGAAATTAATAAGTCAGAGTGCCTATTTATGTTCTACATTTCTAATGTTTTTGTCATTCACAGTGTCCAGTCACTACTATGCTTAATAGAATCCGAATATCGGAGCCCGAAAGGGACTTTAGTATTATATTTTAGTCTGGGCAAGGAAACTGAAGTTGAGAGGAGGAACCCTACATCTAGTTATGTGTCCCAGCTCCCATGTCTAAGTTTTGCCGCTACACTGTACTATATTTCATAACATTCGCTAATCTATGAGATCTTGGAAGAGAATAGAGATTTTTTTTTTAATTTTTTTTTTTTTTACAGGGTTGGGGGATGTGAGTCTCTTCTTATTCATGTGTCTATTTTGTTTGTTTGTTTTCTTGCTGCATAGGTCTTTATAATGTTTATTGAATTTGCTCATTCATTTATTCATTCTTTCTTAAAACACTTGCTGTTTTCCCATGTGCCTGTCATTGGGAATACGGAGATGAGTAAAACACAATTCATACACATTTACAGTTTAGCAAAGAGACAGACAAGTAAGCAGATAAGCATTTTGGACTAGACTCCAATTTAGAACTAACTTTGTATTCCATTTCAGTGAAGCTAAAATTATGAGCTACAGACCAGGAGAAATATGTGTCATGCTTATGGATAACTTTGAGTAGGTGATGGGCTGGGGAAAATATGAAAATTCTCAAACCACATTAATTAACACTAATAGACCTCCTCCCCCAAAGTCTACTATTTTCTTCTTAATCCGGTAAAGTATTTTATAAAAGGTTTAACATGGAAGCATTAAAAGAATGTACCCACGCACAGGAAGTGAAAGTATAGAGAGCAGTGTTAATGCAAGCCCAAGCTTAGTTCTAGCAAGCCTTGAAATGGAGAGGGATTTGGATTCCTTCTAGGCCATCAGCCGGTGCTCTGTTAATTCTGGAACTCTTTTTAACCTTTCCAAAATATATTATGGTTTTGATACCTAGTGTGGACCAAGACTCATAGCCATAGAGCTGCCACACTTATTTACAGACACCAAGGCTTCTTGAGAAACCATGGGTTTTAATATATACTTGTTTTTTTTTTTTTAAGTTACTTGGAAGGGTGAATATAAATAATTAGTGCTGTTGATCCATGAACTTATTTTCTTCACCTAAAGACTACATTACTCCATTCTTAGTCTCAATATTTAATCACAATGTATGCCTGATTATTGCAAATAATTTGTCATTGAGAAATCCCCGTGTGATTTGATAGTTTTGGTTTGAGTCACTGAATTATGCCGTAGTGAAGTTATTTTAAAGATCTAAAATAGATGGACAAAGAGCACGTTCCTAACTGTGGTGATTGAAGTTGGAACATCTGGCCTTAATTTCTTCAGAAATGAATGTGTGATCCTTGATACATATACCAATAGAAGTGACAGGAATTAAGAGGAGCAATGAATGCTTAGTTCATTCTTTCTTTTTTTTTTTTTTTTGAAACGGAGTCTCGCTCTGTCGCCAAGGCTGGAGTGCAGTGGTGCAATCTCACTGCAAGCTATGCCTTCCGGTTCACGCCATTCTCCTGCCTCAGCCCTCCGAGTAGCTGGGACTACAGGCGCCCGCCACCGCACCCAGCTAATTTTTTGTATTTTTAATAGAGACGGGGTTTCACCGTGGTCTCGATCTCTGACCTCGTGGTCCGTCCCCCTCGGCCCCCCAAAGTGCGGGAATTACAGGCATGAGCCACCGCGCCCGGCCGCTTAGTTCATTCTTAAGTTCTTGTAATGCTTGTGCATTGTTTTGCTTAGGTAGGTGAACTGTAAGCTTAAAAAGTATTCTGAGTGGGTTGGTGCTATGGGAAGGGTTGAAGAGACTTAAAGAATTTTTGCTATTTGATGGAAGACTAAAAGGCTCTATGAGAATCTCAGCTCTCTTCATCTACCCACTTCTCTTATAAAAACTGCAAAAATTAAATACATCATTTGGTTTTTTCTTTGTTTGTTTGTTTGTTTTTGAGAAAGTCTCACTTTGTTTTCCAGGCTAGAGTGTAGTGGCATGATCTTCACTTACTGCAAACTTCGCCTTCAGGATTCAAGTGATTTTCATGCTTCAGCCTCCCGAGTAGCTGGGACTGCCAGCATGTGCCACCACGCCCAGCTAATTTTTGTATTTTTAGTAGAGATGGGGTTTTGCATATTGCCCACGCTGGTCTCGAACTCCTGAGGTGATCTGCCCACCCTGTCCTCCCAAAGTGCTGGCATTGTAGGCATAAGCCACTGTGCCTGGCCAAATACATCATTTTAAGGCATAAATACTGCCTGAAAAGTAGCAGAGAGAAAAATCTTGATTGAGTTACATTTAAAAAGTTACACCGATGAGAACAACAGAGTGTCTTATTGTGACATCAATTATGATAAGTCATTATAAAAATACATAATAGAGGCTTGGAAAATGCTTTCTATAAAACAGAAAAAAAATCCCCTATTTCTATGGGCCTCACTATTCTTATTTGTTTTTTGTTTTGTTTTGTTTTGTTTTTTGTTGAGATGGAGTCTCGCTCTGTCGCCCAGGCTGGAGTGCAGTGGCCGGATCTCAGCTCACTGCAAGCTCCTCCTCCCGGGTTTACGCCATTCTCCGGCCTCAGCCTCCCAAGTAGCTGGGACTACAGGCGCCCGCCACCTCGCCCGGCTAATTTTTTGTATTTTTTTTAGTAAGAGACGGGGTTTCACTGTGTTCGCCAGGATGGTCTCGATCTCCTGACCTCGTGATCCGCCCGTCTCGGCCTCCCAAAGTGCTGGGATTACAGGCTTGAGCCACCGCGCCCAGCCCACTATTCTTGTTTGTAATACAAGATTTTAGAT